GCAGAGGGAGATCCGATGGCACTCATTCTATCCATGGCAGCAGCAGCTTGAAGCAGGGAACCCCCCAGTGCTGGCATGGCATTGGTGGCAGCTGCCCGATGGGGTGGGATGGCTGCAGAGAGGCTTGCTCTCTCTCAACAAGCCTCAAAGCTGACTCTCAGCACCTGCCCATCAGCAAGATGCCTCTAGAAAGGCTTCACACAGAGCACTTCCAGACCCCTCCTGTGGTCACTGTCAAACTATCACTTTTTTTTTTTTTTTTTACCCTGAATTTGCTTTTCAATATATCAAACTCACTTGAGAGCTCAGTGAACACTTCACTGGGGTGGGTGGGAGGCTGAGGAATGGGACTGACAGAAAGAAAGGGGGAGAGAGGATGGAGGGAATAAGGATAAAATGCTCTCATTTAATTAAATCTTAGCACAATGTGGAGGGCCATCCAGGCAACCCTGGAACAAACAAGAGCCACCCCAATATCTAAGACTGGAGGTGAGAGAGATGGTGACTGTGGGGATTTCTTAAAGTCCCAAAGATTTTTTTTACTGCAAAAGGCTGGCTCTGACAACAGCATAGTCCAGGCAAGGTCCTGAATTTGGTGGCCAGAGAAACTTGGTTTTGAACAGCACAGTTATAGTTAAGCTTAATATAGTTTTGCTATGTTCAGTCCAATATCAACACAATCCCTGCCCTAAAAAATCTCAAAATCTAAACAGATTAGACAAAGGATAAGAAAAATGTGAGAAGATTTGCCTGAAATCAATTTACAGTTCAGTAGTAGTGCCAGAAACTTCATTTCCTCATCAACACTGGTAGGTGGAAGGAGAGTGGCTGAATGTGTCTATTTCTAGCAGCAAGGCATGGGGAGAAAAGCTTCACAGCAGCGTTGTCACCTTCAAAATCCCCCACCCTGGGGAGCTTCTTAAGGGTGAGAATGTAGAGACAGATCTGTTGGTTTAGGGCAGGAGAACAAGACCTAAGGAGGTCAAGTCTGGCGAGGAAAACACTTAATGCAGAACATTGCTCTGACTGTCAGGTTTTAAACTCAAAAGATTGCACAAAGTTAGACCACTGCATTTCAGGAGACTCTGGAGAAATGTGGGGATGGCAGGTTGGCCAGGGGAAGAGAGCATGACAGAGCATCATAGCCCTTTTTCCTCCTGTAAGCCTGCACAGAAATGCAAAATAAAGTTAACTGACCAAGATATTGCTAATTGCAGAGCTAATTAAAAAATTTGCAAGTCCTTCATGTCCTGCAGATCTTGCTACCTAAAGTTTTTGCACCAGCCTTGAACTTGCTAATCCCCAAGGAAGCAGTGCCAGGCACCCCTGTCTGGCCTGTGCTGATGAAGATGAAGGTGATGCATCCCCACAGCACATGGGAGATGGAGATACTCCACAGCCTTAGGAACAGATCTGCTGCCAGTAAATCCATTAATTGGCAAAAGGTCAGAGGCACTTCATCTATTGCAGAGACTGCCTGAGAAACTTGGCTAGAAAGTGCCTCAGGTGACATCTTCATCCATGGTGCTCATCCTCACTCCACCTGCCCACATCTGTTTGAGCTGTGGTGCCCTTGGCTAGAAACCTGTAAAATCAGTGGGAAAAAAACTGGGCTGGATACCCAAAAACCACACACATTTAAACAAGATTTCCAAGCATTCAGACTAGTTGGCTTTACCTTCTGTTTGGTTTCTTTTTTCTTTTTTTTGCTTCAGACATGTCTTCCCAAGCTGTGACTTGTAACCAGCCTGCTCTTATTGGGTCTCTGAGGTGGTAATGACTGAAATCTTGTGAAAAAATCTGACCAATTCTAACCTGATTAGTGAAACAGCAAAAAAAAAAAAAATCCCTGGATCTAGACTAAATCATTAGACCTCTCTGACATTTGCTAATGATTACCAATAACCCTGGGGCTTCCAGGCTGGGGCTGGAAGGCAGCTCCACTGTTCAGAAGGGCTCTTGGGGTAGCTGAAACTTGCACAGCAGTGCAGAAGGGTCAGCTTAACCTATAGAATTGCCTCTTGCCATTTGCAGGTTAACAAATCTTCTGCAAAATGCAACAGGATTGCCTCAAACTTTGCCAGGCTGCTAGATGACAGGTCTGGCCTGTTAATTCACACAGCCAAGATAAATAAAACAACCACCCCAGAGTAGCAGAGGGGTAAACACTCTCTCAGTCCCCTGAGTAAAGTGGTGTAAAACAACGTGATCAAACTTTGCTGAAGCTAAACCAGCTCTTAAAATGTTTTGATCCAGCTGATCTAAACGGTGCCAAACTGAGTTAAAGTCAGGAGATTAAAAGAACATGTGTTTTTAGTCTGGATACAATTTTTATTTTATAACTTTATCATAACTCCTCTAAAGCTCCACATATCACCTATATAGGGAAAGCAAACTTGTAGCACTGAGTTTGAGTTTTGCAGGTCAGATGTCAGCCTTCCTTCACCTTCAAGATAAACTCCTCCTGTTGGTTTATTCCAGGCCATCCATTATTTAGGCTCTGGCTTCATGGCTGCACTTCCATTATTCACACTGAGGGATATAAGGCCTTTTATTGATGCATTTTTTTACTAAAACTGGTCCCCCACAAAGTGTCCCGTGCATCACAGCTTAGAATTGGAAGGGTCTGCAAAGACCTAAGGAGTTCAGGAAGAATTTCTGCCTTGAAAGGATGGTCCAGCATTGGAATGGGCTGCCCAGGGAGGTGGTGGAATCACCACCCATGGAGGTGTTCAAGAAATGTGGCACTCAGTGCTGTGATTTCATTGATGTGTGATAATGGAGCAAAGGCTGGACTCGATCACCATGGACATTTTTTTCCAACTTTAATGATTTTGGGATTCTCTGATTCTATGATCCTCCAGTTCAGCCCCTTAATAGCACGAGAAAACCTTTAAATTTTGGAAGATTTTTTTTTTTTTAAAGGGGAAGAGAGAATAAAGTCACTTTAATCCTCCAGGAAAAACAGCAAGGAAATTTCATCATTTAACCTCTTGCAAAAGAAGGGGATGTGGGCACAGTCCTGCTGGGATTTGCCCAGCTTTATGATCAGGGAGGAATGAGCCATGAAGATTTTGTTACAGACCTAAATCTGGCCCAATGAGTATTAAATCTTGACTTAACTGGAGTATGTCTGATGCTGGAAAAAAGCTTGCAGATAGATTATGCCAGTGTAAAATGGGAAGCAAGACAGCTTTTGCTTCTGTCTGATAGAGGCAGTGGGGAACTGAACCATGAATTGCTGGAATGTTTTTCTTCCTCTGGCTCTGCAGTCACCTTGCAACAGCATGCACCTACATATTTGGCAAACTTTCCCCACCAGGCCACCAGGCTAGTAAGCAAAGGCACAGAGGGAATCAGGGTGCTGGTACCTACTCAGAGCACAGGCTTGGAGTTTGACCTTGATTGCAGCTAGAAATAAACTCAAAGAATAAATCCCTGTAACTCGTGCTGCACCTCAGGATGGCCCAGCCAGGTTGCTGATGGTGGAAGTGATCAGCAGAGCAAATGCTTGGAGAAAGGGGGTTCTGATGCCCAGAGCTCACAGGTTTTCTTGGGTGAAGCTTGGCCTTGGGCTGCAGTTTGGAGCTGGGAGGATGCACCTGATCTCCTAACTCTGGGAAACACTTCAGTGATGCCTCTGATGGCAGGTGGGATGCTGGGCCTGACACTGCCCTGTTATCAGCAGGGAGGGGGGGAAGGATGAGGTGAAGGTCACAGGGCAGAAATTACAGAATGACCAAGACTCCTGGATAGAGACAGCAAACAGAGCTCCCCGGGGCCCTCCAGGTGAACAGACAAACCTTGCTCACATGTTTTATCCATCCTCCATCCCCTGAAGTGTTCAAGGCCAGGCTGGATGGGGCTGGGAGACACCTGGTCTAGTGGAAGGTGCCCCATGGCAGGGGGATTAGGGCTAGATGATCTCTGGAGTCCCATCTAACCCAAACTATTACAGGATTCTCTAACTCTAGCACCTCTAGGGGAAGGTGTCCAGAGCTGATCCAGCACAGGTAGATGATTGAAGAGCTCTGACAGACTTAGCCTGTCCAGGGGAGGTTGCAGGTGGGTCTGTTGTGCCTTTTCACCACAAACAAATTGAAGGACACATATTTTGGGACTACAGACTTCCATTATTATGGCTGTATTTGTCCTTACTCCTATAGTCTGGGGCTATAAGATTTCCTTTCTAAGGCTGTGTTGCTCTTTCCACTTCCAGGTGTGCACTTTTGTGCATACTTTTGGGCATTTATCTCTCACCAGGTGTGAGCAGGGCAGGGGAAGTGTTTATCACCGGTGGAGTGCCAGCAGGGGGGTGTTTCCCCCTCTCAAAGCCTTCCAGCCTCGTGGAGGGGAAATGCAGCCAGCAGGATGTGCTGGGCTGCTGCACTGGGGTTTGTGTCAATGTCTGGCTCGTTTCTGCTGGAAATTGCAAAATCTTTCCTGTGCAAGGAGCGGGAAGTTTTGCCCTTTGTGTACACGTAGATTGTTGTGAATTTAAATGGGGAGAAGACTTAGGAGGCACGTGAAGCACCAGAACAAACCAGAGGAGGGGGCAGGAATCATGTAGTTCAAAGCTGGTTTTTTTACAGACATACAGGGGGTTGTTTTTCATACAGGGGGTTATTTGTTTGTTTTATTTCTTTATTTCTCTAACTCCACTTTATTCTCTGTCTGTGTTTACATCTTTACATTAGGAGGGGAAAATCTGTCTTTTTTTGGAGGAGGAGGGACAAGAAAAAGGCAAGAGAAACTTTCTGAGTTCATGAACAGAAAAATCAGTTATTTATTCTTTATAACAAACACTTTAAAGAGCTATAGAGACAGAAAGTTTACATTATCCAGCCACTATACCTCCTCTCTGCTTCTCCACCTCCCCCTTTCCCTTTCCCAAAATGGGAGAAAATTTGAGATGAGAGGAGGTCGTGCCTGGGGTCAGCAGAATCCCTGGGACAGGAGCAGATCTCACAGCGTCTCCAGCACTCCCGTATTCCGAATTCTCCCAAATCCTCCTCGCCAGGGACGGCAGCCTGGAGAGCAGCTGGATGGAGCAGAGAGCCTAAAAAACTTCATTCTGCAGGGGGACCTCTAGTGTTTTCCTTTCTCCATGTCCTGGCAGAGTTCCTCCAAAGTACAAATACACACAGAGCTCCCATTGTTTGCAGCCCTTCACAAGCCCACTGATCCTAATATGGAATTCAGCAGGAAACCCATGATTTCCTGACACACAGCAAGCTGGAGAAAGAAAGGAAAAACTCCATTTAAAACCTCCAGACTCTCCTCCATGTAGAAATGCAATGGAAAATGGAGTGGATTTAACAGGAATGCCTGGTTCCTGCGGCCAGGCTGGAGGAAGGGAGACGCGGATCGAAGCCGCAGGCTGCTGATATTTTCTGAAGTCGCAATAAAGACTGGGAACGGCCGGGCAGGATGAGGATTTCCTGACTGGGACAAACGAAAAAGGACAGATCTCTCTCTTTTTCTGCTATTCCTCTCTGTGTGTTTAATTTATTCACCTCGATGATCCTCTTGACTGATCTGGTAACTGTTAGAAGCGGCTGTGACAGCCTGGAAACATTAGTATGATTTCCTGAGCTTGAGATTTGCTGCTCCCCCCCCCAACCCCCCTCCTTCTCCAAACTCAGGAAAAGTCAATACAATCGCACTTCATTTTTCCTTCATGTGCACTTGGAAGTCCTGGGAGCAGCCAGAGCAGCGGCAGCAGCAAGAATGAACTGCAAGGAGGAAAATGACAACTGCACTGACGGGAGCAGGAGCAACACCAAGAAGATGCTGAAATGCGTGGTGGTTGGGGATGGTGCTGTTGGGAAAACCTGTTTGCTGATGAGCTATGCCAATGATGCCTTCCCAGAGGAGTACGTCCCCACTGTGTTTGACCACTATGCAGGTAAGAAAGCGCTTTAAAAGGAATTTAATCGAGAGCTGCAGGACAGCCAGGTGGGAGGTGAAGGCAGCGCAAGGAGAGGACAGTTCAAAAGGGATGCACGGGTTGCTTCTTGTCTGGGAATGTCATTCAGGCCTGGATGGTTGCCAGGCAGCTTAGATGGCAGCTCATAAAATTGGGACAATGCAGGATTTATTCAGAGAACTTATTTGTTTGCTTCTGATTTTTGTCTTGTTTTTGACAAATAAGAAGCGTTAGGGATGCAGTTAAATCCACTATCTTCTGGGACAACAAATATAATTCAGCCTCTATCACTTGGTATTCTTGGTTAGTTTTTGAAGTTCTGAGCTTTGCAGTTTGCAGTTAGGAAGGCTATATATATATATATATGTGTGTGTGTGTGTATATATATATATGTTATCATAATCTAGTCCCTCTTGGCAAATGATGCATAAATTACAATCTTTATATCCTATTTAAGGAATAATCTTTGAGAATATGTCCTATTTAAGGAGTGATCTTTGAGGAAACCAGCATAGTCTCTTTCCAAGCTGTCAGTATATAACTCTCCTTCCAGAGACGTTTGTTACTCCATCTATGAATAGATTTTAATACTACAACTTGATGGTAGTGAAAAGCAGAAGAGGTGATTGACTTAAATCCTTCATAGTGGGGGAATTTGTAGTATAGGAAAAAAGTACAAACATAATCAAGATCATCAATTATATTCATTGCATTTCTGTGCAGAACAGACCCACAGATTAAGTACAATATTCACAGGCCTCTTTCTGTAGCAATTACTGACTTTGTCCAGCTGTGTCCAAAGTTATCACGCAGATGTTTTATAGGCTAAAACTGGTGTTCAATCGTCTGTTTAAGTTTTACTATCCCAAATTCTGCTGTTTTTCTTCTCACAGTGCTCCTTTGGCTTACGGGGGTTTTTTATGAGATCCCTGACACAGATTCTAGAAGCACTGCAAAACTCATTGCTTATCTTGCAGCAGCAGTTGGAGTTTCCCTCATTCTCTCCCCACCTCCTTAAAAACTGAATTTTCATGGCGTGGCTTATCATAGATTTGGTATTCTGTAATGGGAAAAATCCCTGTTTGCATTCTGGCTCCGTGTCAGGTTTAGCAGATGAACTGGCCAAACAAGAAAGCTGTGTAATTGCAGAATCTGATCCGTGGAAATGTGAAGACCTTTTCCTCCACAAGAGTGGGCAGCGTCACTTCTAATGCAGGCAGCTCTCTCTTTTCTCTGCCCTTCCCACCAGATAGACTGAGTGATCCCTTTAGAAAAAAACATTTCCACAGACAAGATATACAACACATATTAAACATAATGTATTGCTTGTTGGAAATATGTGCTTCCATGAGCCAAAATCCCTGAAGGCTGCCTCATACTGCAACAGCAGCCACTTTCCTGTGATACCTTCAGATCTGCTCATCCCTTACAAAATGCTGATCCCAGCACCCACTGCCCTTCTCCCACTCTCCTCCGTGTCCTGCAAATACCTCTGCCTATGGGAAAAGCCATCCAATAGCTGGTGCCAGACCAGCTGGGCATCAGTCTTGGTGGTTTTGGTGTGAACCTGAACCTGCTCACATCACAAGGGCAGTGATGCCAGCCAGCCAGGCTGGCACTTGGTGGGGGCAGCACTCTGAGTTTCTCCTCCCTAACCAGCCACAGGTGGCTCTCAGGGACTTGCTTTGATTCCCTTTCCTCTGTCAGTAGTGTTGGAAATTGCCACTAGGTTCAGAAGTTACTGAGGGATACAAGGGCTGAGGGAAGATGAAGCAGCATAATCCTGATTTCCTTGGGGTAAAAGGAGTATGAAGGCACTTTTAAATCAAGCCTCATTTTCAGGGCTTGAAGATTTAACCTTTAAAATATCTCCAGCTATTTTTATCTGCCTTCTTAACTGCTATAACACATAAATATAAAAGTATTTTCAGTGAGAAAACCCATAAAGATAAGAGGAAAAAATAGCTCGGTTTATTAACATGCTGTTCTGAGACAATCCCTGTCCAGTGGCATTCGTCAAAACTATCATTGATCACAAATGGAATTTCAGTTTTTTGAGGAATCCCATCATTTATTAAACTGATTTCACTACAAAATTGCACACAGAGTCAAGCAGCAGGAATTACTTCTAGAGCAGAGTGCTGGAAAAAAATCCCACTCATAAAAATATTACCTGGCATAAAGTATACCACAGCCATTTAAAATACTGTGGGTATTGACTGAGCAAATAACTCACTTGAGGCAATCCCTGAGCTTACAGTTTTTAGGATCTTCCATTGGATTTTCCACATCCATCTGCGTGGCAGCCTAGGGAGAAGAGGAGAGGTGGGACAGCAGTACCATGGTCACAGAGGTACCATGGGCATGGTGGCAGCACAAGCACATGGGAAAGCTGCACACATGGACAGATCCTGAAGGGTGTAGGAGGCTCTGGAAAATCACATTTGAATTTACCCCAGGAAAATGGTTTATCTACCCCTGTCCCTGCCACTGCTGAAACCAACTGTTTCAATTTTCCCAAACAAGCTGAAAACATCAGATTCAATGGTTCATTTCTATGCTGGAAATGCTCACAAGTAATTAATTGCTGCAGATTTTTGCAAAACTTCACTTTCCTTGGAAGGTTTTCCACCCAGGCATTATTACCAGCAGTGGTGTGTTAGCAAGGGCTTCCTCTTGCCTCACCAGGTCACAGCCTGGTTGTGACTCCTGGAGCATTTACCAATTTACTTCTTTCTAATGGAAAATGTAGGGGGTGGGGAGGGGAAGCATTAAAACCCAAGGATTCCAGTGGTGATCTCAGAGCAGTTTCTCACTGCCACGACTCCAGCGACTCGGGGGAGACAGTGATGCTCTCCAGCCCAGCTTTGGGAAAAGCTCCAGCTGCACCAGTGCCGTGGCCAAGGCATTAACTGTTCATGGCCTGAAGCACCAGCTCTGTGCACTTGCCCTGCTGCATCTCATCTCCTCAGCTCCTGCAGCTGAAGCAGGTGGACGTAGAACAGGAGTGGTCAGGGGAAGCAAACAGCTGAGTTCCTGCACTATTAGATCTGCACGGTGCTTATCCAGTGCCTTTCACATGAAAGAGCTTGAAACTACTTTATAAAAGTTGGGCCCAACCTGCCTCTAAGAAAACCAAAGGCAGGAGGTGAGTGTCACCCAGGGAAGGAGCAGATATTCCTGCAGATAACTCACACAGCATGCGCAGCTCGGATGCAGCGGTGCCTGGCACGAAAAGCTCTTGGTGGCTCACCACGTGTGCAGCTGCACTGTACAAAAGTCCAGACCAGTTATTAGCTCCACACTAGTAATATCCTGCCTCAGGTTTCACCCACAGTCCACAAAACCGAATTTCTCCAGGGTCTGTTGCCAGTGTTGGGATGTGACGGGTGTAGAGTGGATCAGAGCAGTGCCAGACAGATGGGGAGGGAGGGTAAATTTGTTACTTGGATATGAAAATGGTTTCTTTCATTGGATGCATGGAATTTTATGAGTCTGGTTATTTCTCAAGGCATTTTGAAGAGGTTTTTCTGGAGGCCAGAGCCCTGAGTAGGTTTCCTTGCTTTGGTGAATTTCCAAGTCCGGCACTGGAAGTGTTTAGCCACAAGGCTGTTCCTAGGGCAGGCTCACCAAAGTGCTATCCCAGTGACAAACAGGATATTGCTGGCAATAACTGTAACAATAGGGGCTGTTTGGATAGTGAGTAGATGCTTCAACATGCTGGTTCCACTCTGCCTTTTGAACATCAAATGCTGGTTTTCCATGAGCAAAGGTCTCTCCGCCAGGGTGACTTGTATTGTGCCTAGCTATGTGAGGTTACAAATGTTTATTTAGGGCTGAGGTTGGACCAACAAAAAAACTCAATTCAACAGCTAGCAGAGTTGGTTTAATAGTACCAAAGGTAGCTGGCTTGCTCTGTGAAATACATAAGAAAAATGTGTATTGTTACTTAGGAAGCCACTGAGTATCCTATTTTATATTCATGAAGCCTAAAAACATAGCAACTTTTAGTACGAAATTTGTTTGCTCTAAAATTTATATTCAGGCTTCCTGGAGAGGTGATCAATGCCCCAAGGCTGTCAGCATTTGATAGCCATTTGTATAATGCCCTCAATTATGTGCTGTGAGTTTTGGTCAGCCCTGAAATGGTTGAGCAGGACTAAGTGATCACTGTAAGCCCCATCCATCTGCAACTATTCCATTCTATTCCAGAAGTGCATTTCTTGTAAGTTAAAAAAGAAACATCTCCATGCTTAAGGAGCAGTAACAATGGCATGCAGCTAACTTGGCCCACTGTGCAGACAGGGGTGATTGGACTCATTAGATGGCTGAAGTCTGAGGAAAAGAGGGTTGTGAGTCTAAAACTCAGCTCTGATTCAGGCAGAGTACACAGATGAATACCATGCAAACAGCTTTAGGAGACAAAGTTGCATCTTTGATAAATGAGGGGGGTCAATCCCTCCAAAGGGGAACTGCAAAGCATCTGCAAGAAGTAGATGGTGTAAATATGTCCCTCCCTCCCCTCGTGTGTCGGCACAAACTGGTGAGCTTTTATAAATAGTGAACCCATTTGAAAAAAATTAGCATTGGCATGTGATCAGCTAATTAATAGCATACAGAACAGCTCAGCCCTGACTGGGACTCGGTAAAGTAAAAGCAATATAGAAGAAGAGAGACATTACTTACTGTTTGGAGACACATTTTTTGTTCTTCAGTGATGATTCAATGTAATCTGTCTGACTTGCACTGAAGTGAGCTGGAGCACCACCAGTCTCACAGAGCAGTGATCCCAACCTTGTGGTCAGACAAGCCATGCAAGAAGGGAGAGTCTCCTGCTCTGGCATTTTTAATAGCATAGAGGATGTATACTACTGCTCTTGCCCAGAGCAGGCAGCTGTCCCTGTGCAAACTCACAGATCTATTATATCCTGCCTGTATGTCACAGCACTGACCCAAATCCTTGTTCCTCGTGTCCCCCC